CCTGTCTAGGTCGTCTCTCTCTCTCTCTCTCTCTCTCTCTCTCTCTACCCCCAATCCAAAATATAATGTGATGCATTTTCTCTTTTAGCATATGCATGAAGTATTATTGGCTTGATTTCCGGATTTTTGTTTTGCTCTCTCTCTCTTCCATTTGCAATTCACATAATGCTCTCTCTCTCTATCTCTCATCATATGCTTTACATATTTCTAGCTTAATTCCTCTCTTTTTTCTTTTGATTGGTTTATTTGGTTTTCTTTAAGGTGATTACTTTCTCTTTCTTCAAATGGGCTGTAAGGTTCTTAGAGATCTAAGCACTTTGAGTTTTTTTTTTGGATAATTCAGTGGGGAGGACAAGGCCCTACATGTTTTTTCAAGTAGATTAGGAGTTAGCTTTTTGAAGGTGGTAGCAGTGGGAATAGAAACCACAATGTGGTGACTAGGGTATGGGGGGCTACCACCACGGTCCCTTTTCCGTGATGAAAGCACATTGTGGGAAATGAACTAGAAAATTTTTGAGAAAATCTGAAGAGATATTATTCAACAAATAATGTTAGAGAAGTCACCCGATATCAAAGTGGTCTTAGGATGCAGGTAAAAATTTACCTATGTTAAAACAGACAGAGAAAAGTTCGTCTTTGAGATCAAATTTTAATCTCTTAAATAAAGGGAATTGCAGGCCATATTGTGGAATTATTAATCATAATATAAACGAAAATATGTGAGAAAACCATTTCTAATTTGCTAGTAACCTTGGAAATTTCCAATACCAAAAGATAGTATGTTTTGGTAGTAAAGGTGGATGGGGATTATATACTATAAGACCGTTCAATTTTGGTATTAGGAGATCATAATCACCCTTAGCCATTACGATGTGAAATATGATAACTTAAAGCTTGTAATATGGTTCAAGCAATTATATTTTCGACTTTGTGCCCAATCAATAAGATATCCACAGCGACTTGATTTCACATCTAATGGTCGATAATGATTGTGACTTATAGCAAAAGTCAATCGCCTTATTGTATACATTTCCAAGATGGAAAAGGGATGGAAAAAAGGATTTAACCTGAACTCTTCATGCCTAATATAGCTGAGATGTTTGCATTTGTTCGAAAGCTCTTAGTTGGCACATTATTATAGACGAGACCTTTGCAAAGAGCATTAGATCTGAAAATTTTAGTTCTAGGAATTGGGTTGGGCTTGAATAATTAGCAGCTGACATTTAACTGTGCTACATCTCAAATTCGATTCCTACCACTGGACTACCCCCAAAAAAAAACTATTTGTTTTTATGGCAAAATTATTTCAGATATAAGAAAATTTGCAAGATATTGTGAACATAGTTGCCCTTATTATTCTTAGTCTACTCGTATATGTAGTTTGCCTGTGCACTGCATTTTTTTGTTGTCATTGTATTCGCTGTTGTTGGTTGTGCTTTCACCCTCATGTGTAAAGGGGTTTCCCTTCATTCATTTCATGGCTGAAGTATTCTTTAAGTTCTGTTACATATTGTTTTGGCCATGTCTATGTACATTGATATCTTGGTAATATCATCTTCTCTTATGCGCTATCATAAGATTAGACATTGTATATCTCTTAACAAAAGATCATTGGCCTCTTGTTTTCTTTCAGCCTTGTTCATACACCTTGTTATGTACTGGCATATATGGTCTCAATCTTCTTCTTTATATAAACTATTAATGTTTTGTTTTTCACTTACCACCTTCTCTATGGCCTGTCTACAATTGAAGACACATTTTAATGTGGTTCTTTTATACAACGAGCAGCATGTCCATGTCCATTTCCACTTCTAATGGTGGTGGCACTGCCACAACCATCATTCGTCTTTATATTGAGCAACCTCTACTTCCTAAATATTGTTCAGGTCTTTAATCGAAGCACAATTTCTACTCTATCTGTATCTGCTTTTTAAAGATTTCTATTTACATTCTCACCACCGCCATAATAGCATTTTAAAATGTCTCTGTATCCTGTTATGGTGGTTCAATTATGGGCAAAGTTCTTCTCAGACTCATAAATTATGATGTAGTTTGTGGTCCCACAAATTGCAAGTTACCATATATTATCTTTGGGATTGGGAAGACACATTAATTCCTTATCCATTACTTTATCGACCATTTGTGCATGTGTTTGTGCACAGGAGTGCATACATGCTTGTCTGCATTTGTGTGATGAGAGTGACTTAGGTGAGTATGTAAATGCTGGGGATAACCAAGCAAGTGAAAAGGGTATGACCTCTCTTAGCAACACTTTCCAAGCTTGCCTTTGACTGCAGAGATGAAAGTGGGATTTTTAAGGTAGTAGGAAAAGACTTCGGAGCTCAGTCCCTTGTGGTAAATTATTTTCCAAACCATGAAAAATGCTTGTAGTAATTGCTACTGGTCCTCTTCAACTAACAGCTAAGGCTGGTACCATGGTGAGTTTGCTCCCAAAGCATACTTTTAAGTTAGTGTCTTTTGCCTCAAGTTAATTATCTTGAGCCCACATTTGTCCCTCTTCAATGAGGGGCAAAAAGGCCATGCCCAAACAAGATTGTGCTGCAGTTCTGTTTATTATTCAACTAATTGCTAAAGGCTTAGGCTATAGTGGTTCCTATTCAACTAATGCCTAAGACTCTAGCCATAGCCATTCCTATTCAAATAATGGCAATGGCTTGCACTAAGGTCATTCCTAGTCAACAATGGCCAAAGCAAAGGTCATAACCATTCTTATCCAAATAATCACTAGTCGGCTCTCATCTGGTTAACAACTAATTCTCATTCCATGCCAATTCATATTTTATGAGGTAGCTAGGGTCCATGCTAGATATGTCCTGCTTCTCGTTCATGAATTTGACTCATATATTGGGTTGGTCATGACCAACATGCCTCTCTTTACTGAAGACAGGGGAGCTGAAACTGTTGATGAGTAGTTATCTGGACACAGCCCAAAGAACACAACTCCAAATGGACCACCTTGATGAGATGCATGACAGAGCTATATCTAAATTATCCCAACTATTGCCTCTTGGTTTTCCTGTATTTTGATTTGGAATGTTCTATAAATGCCTATGAGGTCCCATTTAAGGGGCATCCTTTTACTGTCCTTTGTAAGCCAAAATCAAGGATTGAAATAGACATCTTCTCTATTTAAGCATAAGCAACTACTTAATGCTCTAGAAAGAATCCATGAGACAGCAGCATAAGCATATATATGAGAGAATAGGAAAATCTCAACTTTTTTCTGAGGAAAAGGAGTGATAGAAAATTTAATCAATTTGATTGAAGCTAAATTAATTTGTCCCAGTGTCCTTATTAAAGAAAAACAATCCTCACATCCTACTAGGGGCTCCATGAAAGCCACATAGTCCGAGCAAGTACATTACCTATTTTAGGAATTTACATGATAATATAGTCTTGAGAAGCTTTTCATTAAATGTTTGCATTAAAATTTGTGGATTCCTTGTTTATAACATAATTGCTGAAAATGATTTACTTGATCAAACTTTTGGAAAAAGAGGTTTGGTAAAGTTTACCTGAATGGAAGCTAGACAGTATCTTATATGGCTCAGGTCTAGGATAGCAGCTCTAACAGGATATAATGATCCAATATTGCATTGCTAAGCTGAGTAACATTTGTTGGGCATTTTGACAAAAGATTGTGGTAGGATAAGTTTACCTCCTGAAAAGTGTCTTGACCAGACCTATAGGAATTTCACTATCTTTCGCATTATAATCAATTTTGAACCCCACAAGGGCTTCAAAGTGTCCTTTTTATGAAAGTGCATGCTTATAGAGGTATATGGATGAGAAAAGTTTCTAAAACTTGTGTTTATTGAAAAAATAGTGCGAAGAATATGGTGATATTTTTACCTAGGAATATCATTTTGTTGTTCTGTATATCAGCTGGTATACTGGTGAACAACATCATGGGTTCATGAAAGGAGAAAAACATATGTTCTCCCTCTTTAGTCTAAATGATAGATTTTGGTCATATTTCAATGGTTATATCTTCAATACACCAATATGCTAATTGTATCAGTATAATATCATTGCCAGTGTTTTAAAAAGCGCTAGGCGGCACCCAAGCAGCCATGGGGGTCCAGGCCGTCCAGCTCCTAGGCGGTGGCCCAGTTGAAAAGAAAAAAAAAGATAGTCTGATAATGATTAATCTATAAGACCATAATCCATAAGAATTTTGATAATCCATCCCAGTTGAAAAAAAAGAAGATAAAGTCGAGAAGAGAATTTTGATAATCTATAAAACCATAATCCATATTTTCATACAATGCTACATGCATACACTAATAGTCTGATACATTGTAGACTATACACACAAAAGTTAGACATTAGAACTAGAAACTAGAAAGTAGAAACTAAAATATATATATATATATATATATATATATACAGAAATTCAGAAAATATACAGTCTAGGACACAATAGTCAACACTCAACATACTCAAAACAACAGTCAGCACTCAACACCAAGAGTGTCTTCAGTCATCACAATCATCATAAGAAGGAATAGGGTAAGCTTCGTCATGTGCATCAGATTCGAAGCTATCATCATCAGAGTCATCTCCCTCTTCAATATAACGCTCGTCCTCCTTTGTTTCTTCTGAATCTGCATCTTCCTCCTCCTCTTCTTCTACCTCCCTCTTACCAGTATGTGCAGATGAGGCCCTAAGAGTCTAGGTTGCTCTACCCTTTTCTATCTTTTTGTAATTTCCTGAACTCAAATATTGTATAATTTCCTCCTTGGTAGCCTTATGAACTTTTTTACACGGGGCAACATCCCCCTTAATACCGACAAGGTGTTTGTTAAACCGATAAATGCTTCCATTAGTATCATTTCCATAATAATTACATTTAATATGATTTTTGTCATTTGGATTCGGGTTATGACCATACTTCCAAACCAGTTCACCATTTCTAGAAGAACCTGGAGAAGATATTTCCATAGAACAAGGCTCATTTTCATCATTTTCTGGTTCTTTTAAATTCAGAAATTGTCATCTTAAATAGCTTCAAGAACTTTTTTATAAGAAGCAACATTCCCTTTAATACCAGCAAGGTGTTTCTTGAATCGGTTAATATCCCTATTGGTATCTTTTTCATAAAAATTACACGTTATACAATAATCGTAATTTCATAAAAATTACACGTTATACCCTCTTTTGTATCTTTTTCATAATAATTGCATCTAATGCAATTTTTGTCATTTAGATTCAGGTTATATCCATATTTCCAACCCGGATCTCCACTTCGACTAGATAGTAAAGAAAGATATCTCAAAATAAAACAAGCAAACTATAAATAAAGTTTTGCACTTACTTTGATTTGCTCGAACTCCAAACTCCCACCTCTTAGATGTTTTCTGGTGCTAAAATAATAAAAAACACCCTCTAATAGGATCATAAAATTCCAAAACTAAATCTAATTTACCTGGGGATATTTGGATCCGTTTTTTATAACTTTGATAAATACTTCGATCCAATCAAAATCACAAAATTTAGTTTTTTTGAGGTTTCTTTTTTGTGAAATGGATTTAGGTTTCAAATGAATCTAAAATCCATCCTTAAAACCCTTTATGTTTCAATTCAAAAAATATCAATAGAACATAAAAAAAAAACTAATTTCCGCCCCTATGTGGGGCACATGCCTTGGGCGGCTGCCCAGGGCTGGGCGCTGGGCAGCCACCTAGGTGGGTTCTATACCGCCTAGGCGGCCGCTCAGGGACAACCGCCTAGTTTGGCCGCCTAGGCATGGACGATGTGCCCAGGCCTTTTGGACCGCCTAGGCACTGGGCGGACCGCTTTTTTGAACATTGATCATTGCTAGTTGATGAGTCTGCTGGTAATTGCATTAATGTATTTATGATATGCAGTTATGAATCCTGATGTAATTCGTTCTATTTTTTGATCAAATGCTCCTCTATTAAAATATGGTCTTTATCATTTTACTCCTAGATGTTCTTTTTCTATTTTCCCTTGGTTAATTTTTTTAACAATGCAAAAAACATCCTTTTTGTATAGATTGCCTGGAAGAACATTATCAAGAGGTCAGCATATCTGGCTATGCAATGCTCACAATGCTGATAGCAAATTCTTCTCACGCTCACTTCTTGCCAAGGTTCATTCTCCTCTTCAAAAACTGCAATTTACTTTTGTGACGCCAATCTGAAGTATACCATGTAGTACAATGCGGCATGGTATATGATACTTCAAGCCTACATACATTGTCTGTTCATGCTGATGGGTGGTTGGCGATTAAATCTACGAGAATGGATGTCCTTTCTAGGCCCACTCCAGTTAATCTCCAACCGTTTGTCTGTGCTCTGTGTGAACAGATGGGGGATGTAGGCCCATAGTACAATACACCGATCTACTGGACTACAGTATATTTTTGCTTTACTTTAAGTCCAGATTATAATAGCTTAGAATTCTGACTCCATTTTCACTTCCTTCATTTGTGTGCCGCTTTGTTTAATGGAATGGCATTGTATTGCATCCCCAGAGCGCTTCAATTCAGGTATTGTATCCTGGCATTTGCATTTATTACACTTCATGGTTGCTGCTGCTCTTCTCTCACCTGCGCCAGTGCACGTGCACACACAAAAAAAAAAACACCCACACACACATGCACGTATTGATACATATATCATTATAATATGAGTGTAAGATACAAAAGCATTAAAGATCAGTGATAATGAAATTTAATTTGGACTGACTCTGTAAAGTCACTGCCTTTTCACTTTTAATTTGCAGACAGTTGTATGCTTTCCAGTCCCAAATGGGGTGCTAGAAATGGGGGTGACTGAACTGGTAAAATTCCATTTTAGAACATCACTTTCCTCATAGTAATTTAAATGTGCCGAACCTATTTGGACGCAACTAATAAGTAGAATTTTTGTTCTTTGTTTAATGATTTGTTTTAAGGTTACGGAGGAACCAACTTCAATTCAACGCATGATGACTTTCTTTTTGGACTTAACAAAGCCTGCTTGCTCCGAGCAATCTCATTCCAGTCCTCAAAACTCAGACCATGATTACGATGATCTCGACTTTGCCAAAATTGGCCACGAGAATGTAAGTCACATGCCTCTCTTAGGACATGACTTTATCATTTTTCCATCTTTTCATTCACTGGGTGCAGTCTCATCTCTTTATATCTGGCTGTAAATGTCTTTAAGAAGGATATTCATCACTAGAAAAAAATTTCTACAGGGCGTGAAATCGGTTTATTGATGTGTACTGTATACATAATTACACATCAGATAGCTGACAGGTGTATTGTATGAGAAGCCTTATTGTGAAAAGGAAAATTTTGGAAATTGATTACTTTGATTTAGGTTGTTAATCAGGGACAGCAGTCGTGTCGTTCCTGGTTAATCTAATCAATACAAATGCTATATATCTGGTTGCTTGTGTTTGGGAAGGCCTCTCTCTCTCTCTCTCTCTCTTTCTGTCTCTCTCTCTCATGACCAATGTTACCACTCTGAATCGGCAGCCTGGAAAGGATACATGCGAGAGCGAAACTCAACACTTCAACTATTACCAAGATGATACCCATAACGCTTTTTCATTTGACATCTCATACTTGCCCGAAGAAGGGGTGGAATTTGAAAAGGAAGGAATCAAGGAACTGAATGGAGTTTGTGAAGATTTCAAAACAAGGTCCCCTGACTTCAGTGAACATGGCTCTAGTCAGCAACTTGACGATTTATACATGCCTGATGGCATAACGAATACATGCCAAGTTCAAAGCTGTCCATTCATTGAAGAAGAGAATGGGGCTGATGGTTCCCCTAACAATAGTGATTGCATATCTCAGACTTTTGTTGAAGCTTCACCTAAGGGGGAGATACTAAAGCCTTTTATGCAAGATGCCCAAGATAGTTGGGATGGTACTCCACTTAATTATGGGGTAAATGGAGCTGATAATTCTCATTATTCGAGGACACTTTCTTCTATTCTTCAAAGAGGTGAAAACTTCAAATTTACTGAGGCTCCACGAAGGCTCTCTATTAAAAGTTGTTCTTCCAAGTCGAGTTTTTTGCTTTGGAAGAAAGGGTCAGAGCTTCCTCGGAGGCAAATTGAGATGCCTCAGAAGATGTTGAAGAAAGTTCTATTCATTGTGGGGAGGTTTAGGAGTGAGAATTCTCCTATGACCCAAGAATGCGATGTTGGGAAATTTGGGGTTTGGAAGAAGGATGTGGAAGATCTTAATCATAGTCATGTTTTATCAGAGAGGAGGAGAGAAAAGCTGAATGAGAAGTTTTTGGCTCTGAGGTTGTTGGATCCATCTATTAGCAAGGTATGTAAGATGCTGACTGACCCCCTTCCTCTCACAAATATCGTTATTATATTGCTTATTTTTCCTTGAAAACAGTGTTGAAGCAGTTCGAGGGGGGGGAGGACTTCAATTTTTCTGTTAGTGATACTGAGGGGAACTTACAAGTTCTGCTCTGATATGGTTCTGTTGAAACTTTTTCAACTTTTTCGAAGTTTGATGTTCAAGCAAATATCATGTTGCTTCAGAAAAATTGTATTTATCAATCCTGATGGAGCATTCCATATATTTAGAACTCTCTCTCACTCCATATTTCTATAATTCACCTAAATTTGTTCTCCTCTTTTAAGATAGAACTCATGCTCATACACTACAAGGCACCAGAAAAAGTTCACAGCTTGCTATCCTTGAACCCAGTTCTCTCTCTACACATATTGCAGATCGATAAGGCTTCACTACTTGGGGACACTATAGAGTACCTAAAAGAACTTGAGAGGAGGGTAAAAGAACTGGAAGCAAGGGGTACGAGGAAGCAGGCTGACATTTCAGAAAGAACTTCTGATAATTATGCAATTACTGAGAAATATTCAGGAAATAAAAGGAAAGCAAGTGTACTTGATCCAGCTCAGCTCGACTCCAGTAGAGTTCCTTTGGATGGCATTGAGGTTACCATTTTAGAAAGAGATATCTCAGTGGAGATGTGTTGTCCATGGAGAGAGAGTTTGCTGCTAGAGATAGTCCAAGGACTCAGCAAACTCCAGTTAGATGCACATTCCATCAAATCCTCAACCAACAATGACATGCTAACATTATCACTTAAAGCAAAGGTATATATAGCATGCTCGTTGTTTCTTATGAGTTTTAAAATTTTCTGCCACCATGAGGTAGAACTCTTTTGTGTGAACTCCTTAATGATTCACTGGATTTCGCAAATAGATCCTTATATGGCAATGTATCATGTTGTTTAACTAGTCAGTGCTTGTTTTACTTATTTCCAGTTGTTGGCTCTCTCTCTCCGTCTCTTGACTTTATAACCTGGTTGCAGTTAAGGAGAAAAGTGCAGACAACAGCTGGGGAGCTCAAGCAAACCCTTACGAGAATTGTAGGCTGGGGCTAGGGATGGTTTGCAATGGTTTCTTGCTTACTCTCTTGTTTTGTTGTAGTCATTGCAGGCTGAAGTAAAGAGTTTCATTTAGCTTTGTATGATATTAGTCTCTGAGCAATTCTCAATAAAGAGGTGTTTAGTGTATTTTGATTGAGGTTCTGAACACAGCTTCTATGTGCTTTTCCATTTGTACGAGTCTCTCTTCCACTTCCTTTCATTTACTCCTGAAATAAGGATTGGGTGGTCCCACAGCCAGAATAAGTGATCTCCAATGCCCACCAAATTGAATTGAATCCCCCCGGTTAATTTCTTTTTTTAATAATTGTTTTCTTTACTTATTATTTTTTTGAGTCTAAAGAAATGTACCATCTGGATCCGAATTGTTGATCTTAATCAGTTCACTAGAGGGGGGGAATCTTGGACCCTGATTCTAGATTTTAAAATTTTGATCTTTACTCATCTTCAAGTTCATAAGACTCGAAATGACGTTAATACAAAGTTAAAACTTTTGAGGGAAATTCTAGAATCCAAAAGTGTTAAAATTAGTCGGACTAAAATAGAGTATATGGTGGAATACAAAATTAGTAATAAAAGGAGTAGAGACGAAGAAGTAATTAAGTTTGAGGGCCTGTCATTGAATAGACAAAATTCCAAAAAAAAAAAATTAGCATTTCATGACTCACCTCAAGTTTGACATCTAATATTGCATCTAATGAAGGAGAATGAGAATGATTGATATGGTCTTGCTTTCCAAATCAGGCTAGTATAATATGATCTACATGGTCCTAATAACTTCATGATGGACATTGGTCAATAGGGGATCCATAATAACTTCATGAAAGACATTGGTCAATAGGGGTGGCAATGGATCCAAACTGGGACTTAAGGGGTAGACTTGATTTGGGATCTGACCCGATGCCAGCCCTATTGGTTGAGGTGGGGTCCATGGTATAGTTTCATTGAGTTTGCTGTGTGGGCCTACTTTCTCCTGTTGATGTCTAACCAATTGTTTGGACGATGATTAGCCTATTGATTGTTGTTGTGACTCAACATTTTATATGTTTCAGTTTTAATTGGTACTGAGATTGATTGTGACAGTTTTCCATATTAAGGCATGACCCTAGTGGAAGTCCCAGTGCCATCTCTTCATCACCGTCCACTTAATGACCTCAAGGATTATTGACTATGAATCTTTTGTACAATCTTTCATAGATAATAGAAAATGCATACAATGATAGCATTTACTTTTGATTCAAGGATGTTACAATTATCATGTTACAATTATCATGGACAGTTAGTTAGATTTGAAATGGGGTAGTTGCATATATGCCATTTTTTGTACACAAAGTTCCAAATAAATATCTTGAACGTTGTAACATATTTTCATTTATTGGATTTCACATTCAATGATCAAAAGTAATTGTGACCTCTTTATACAAAAAATAAAATAGTCCCGTAATATACAAAGGCAAACTTTCTATATATCCCCTAATGTATAAAACTTATATACTTCCCCCTATCCAACCGTCCATTCTAAATGGACAGTTGAGATGGCCCCAATCACAAAGTCTTGCATCTACACTAATTTTGTTTTTTTAAGTTTTTTTCTATAAAATATTTGGATACTAAATTTTGGGACCACTCCTCTCTTAAGCTTGCACCTATAAAAAATCATCATAATCATAGCTTTTTTTCAATTAATTAGGTTCGGCTACACGAATCTCGGGCTGTCATTCTGCTCTATTTAAGGCCATACCCTAATTGAGGCCTTCATATTTTTTTTTTTTTTGCACCTATTAAAAACATAAAAAAAATATTATCCATAAAATAAAATGACCAAAATGGCCCTAAAAATTTCAAGGGTATTTTAGTCATTTTATCCTATCAAATAAAAATAAATTAATTATTTGTTATAGGTACGCCTCATTGAGATGATGATACGTACCAAATTTCATACTGATGTAATTTTTTTAAAATAATAATAATAATAATAATAATAAAATACTTTAAATCGTCATATCTAAATCAAATAGTCAATGGCTCACTTGATCAAAATTAGATGGCTGGATGGGGGAAATATACATCTTCCATATAGTAGGGGAAGCATAGAGAACTTTCCTAATATACAATCACATAGATAATTAAAGACATGAGAAAATTACGTACGGACCATATTGGGGTGGGGTCAATTACAAAATAAGAACATGTTGTTACCAAATTATGGGTGGCACCTCCTTACCCAGTTTATTTTTATTTTTCCAAGTTACCCACGTCCACGTTTAAATGAAAAGAACCTGTCTGGTGTTCGAAATACCGGACAGCTCCTTTAAGTTTTATAAGTTTAAAATTTGATGTCCGGTGTTCAATATACCGGACACCTTCTCTCTCTAAACATTCAAACTCCCCTCGATTCCCCTCTTTTTTCTTTCACCATCTCTCTCTTCCGGAGAGAATTACCCAACCTCGCTCTTTCCCTCTCCTCTCTACCCTACGAGCAAAATCCAAGATTGAGCCACCCACCATGCTATCATTCTCTCCTCTCCATCTCTCTCTTGGGGGGGGGGGCACCCGTAATTTGAGAACAATGTGTTCCCATTTTATAATTGACTCGCCTAATATGGTCCCTACGTAATTTTTTTTATGAACATTTACAAGGGGCAACTTTGTTTTTGTTTTGTGGACACAGGACTAAATAGCAAAAGGCCATGAAAGAATCATTTGTATTTTTAAGAAGATAAAGAGTCCATAGATCTGAGCCCAAGAATAACGGAATCTAAACATCAAAATTCTCTCACTCCAGCAGCATTACTGCCTTATGCTACCCATTTGCCAAACACACTAACAACCAGTCCCCATTGACTTTACCTAATTGAGACAAACTCCCACAAATAAATTTTTTTCCAAAGAAAAAATCCCATCTCTCTCTCTATCTCTCTAAAAACATCCATCCTTTTTGTCCTCTTGTATATGTCTAGATGCAGTTGTCTTACAACCACATTTCACTCCCCCCCCCCCCCCCTCCTCTTCCTCCCCTAAAAAAAAAAAAAGTCAAACATCTCAATTTCATTTAAGGTATATTCTTTTGATGCAATTTCATTTAAGGTCTCCCTCTCATATCATTTTCATGCAAGGCCTCTCTCACACAAACGTCTCACTTTAAACATTCTCTGTCGTTAAGGCCTCTCTCTCTCGATCTCTCATACAATATCAATTTCATTTAAGGCCTCTCTCTCTCTCTCGTAACATACAAATTTCATGTAAGGCCTCTCTCTTTCACATAAACATCTCATTGAACTCTATCTGATAACTTCTTTTCCTTCACGATCTTTCTCTCCATAAAAGTAAGTGTGCTTTACATGCGGATCCTAAAATTTTAAGTAAAATATAAAACATGCTATTTATAAGAAGAAATTACAAAGGTCGGTCAACCTATTTTTTTTTATTGTTTTAAAATTGTATTTTTTATTTTTTTTTAGCAAAGCCGTGCCCCAAACATTAAGACACTCCCTTACAAACGAAAAAAACTAAAAAAAATCAAAATAAAAATTCGGGTCAACTAAAAGGCAATTTTAAAAAAAAATTAAAAAAAGTGAGTTAACCAACATTCTTTATATTTTCCACTGTAAGTGAAGCATTTGTATTTTACCTAAAATTTTAATGTTCACACATAAATCACTCTAAGGATGGCAATTTACCATTAAGGACACCTAACTTAACACCTTGTTCTACCATTTATCCTTGAAAACCAGAAGGACACCCAGCTTAAAACTTCTTCCTCAACCCCCACTTATCTCTCTGAGCAATCTACCATTTTAAAACCTCAAAACATTAACGATACCTAACTTAAACCCTCTCTCTCTCCCCCCTTCTGGATTCCATAAATACAGCCTTATATAACCCGCTTCTCATTTAACCCTCTTGAGCTAACCAGTCTGAATCCATGGCTGGACCTCAAACCTGTCTCCAGCTCCCAGTGCTGGACATCTCTGAGCCCCTTGCCCCTCCCTCCCTCTCTCAAGCTTGCCAAGACTGGGGCTTCTTCTACATCTCCAACCATGGCATCTCTCTGGACCTTATCGCACGCATCTCCTCTCTCTCTAAGAACCTCTTCAACGTCCCCTCTTCTTCGAAGCAACTCCTTGGTCCCAATTCCACCCTCAAGACTTACACACCACATTTCATTGTCTCCCCCTTCTTCGAGAGCCTTCGAGTTTGGGGCCCTGACTTTGCTGCCTCAGCCATGAGCTCCTCTTCTGTACTCCTGGGTGAACCTGAATTGGCTCTTTGGTAGGCTTATACTACCTTCTATATCCACTCTCTCTCTCTTTGAGAATCAATCCAATTGCATATTCCATCTTTTGGGTGTTTTTGTGTGTGTGCGTGCATGTACAAATGTGTGTGTGTGTGTGTGAGAGAGAGAGAGAGAGAGAGAGAGATTATCCAAGATGTGTGTGTGTGTGTGATCCAATGTTTTTTTTGCGTAAGTAGATTATCCAAGTGTTCTTATTTGAATGGCCTCTCTCCCTCTCTAAATCCAATTACTTGAGTGTTCCTCTCTCTCTCTCTCTCACACACACATGTTTTGTGTTCTTCATTTCTTGCAGTGAAGTATTGCAAGAGTATGGGACCAAGATGGTGCAATTATCTAAGAGAATCATGGAAGTCTTGTTGAGATGCTTGGGTGATGGCTTAGACTACGAGCACCTTCAACATGACTTCCAAAATAGCCATGGCTACCTCAGGATCAACAACTACACTGCACCAAATAACCAAGAGGAGAATGAAGGGCTAGGGATCCACACTGACATGAGTTGTATCACCATTTTGCATCAAAATGAGATTGGAGGGCTTCAAGTGAGGTGCAAGGAAGGGAATTGGCTTGATATATCCCCTAATGAGGGTAATTTGGTAATTAACATAGGAGATTTGCTTCAAGCTTGGAGTAATGGTAGGTTCAAGTCATCTCATCATAGGGTGGTCCTTAGGGGCTCTAACCCTAGGCTCTCCTTGGCCTTCTTTTGGTGCTTTGAGGATGAAAAGGTCATCTATGCCCCTGATAAGGTACTAGGGGAGAGGAATTTTAGGCTTTATAGGCCATTTCTATGCAAGGACTATCTTAGGTTTAGAGAAGAAGCAAGTGACAAGGTCGGATATGAGAGTATAGGCTGGACTGTCATGGACTTTGCTGGTATCCAGGCTTCCAAAACAAAAAACTAGGGTTTGTGACAAAATGTGTGGATAGAGCCGAGATTCACTTATCAGCCATGGTGATTATGGTGTCATTGTGTTCTTAATTATATTCTTTCTATTTCATGAAATTCTTTAAGCTTTTATCAGATTGAATTCTATTGCTCTATTGGGGGTATATATTAAGATTTGTGTTTAGGTTGTAAATAAATATTTGGTTGGAACTTCATCTAATTGTTCAAGGTAGGGGCACTGCCCTTAAAGGACAGCTCTGATGTTATAGTTTCTTGTAATTCTTGATTATATCTTCCAATTTGTGTGCTCTTTCTAGGGTTGATATTGGATTGGGGATGTTGTGGACTTGAGTTAACCAATGACTATGGTGCTTTAGGAATTTATTTAGGTTGGGTCTTGTCAAATAATGCACAATATTTAGTCTTAGTAGTTCTCATTCATGTGTTAGGGTTTCCCTAGAATACTTTTGTATCATATTGTCTGTACCATTCTCATCCTTATTTTAGGGGGGTTCCTATTTTTTCTTTTTTTTTTGGATTTTGTTTTTTTTGGGGGATTTCTTTAAGGTTGCTACTGTATTATGGTGGGACAAGTTTCCCCTTTTGATTGAGGGGTGGTGGAGGCTTTTGGAATTAAGTGTGGATTTTTTGGATGGGTTGTTTGTTTGTTGGGAACAATGTGAATTAATAGAAATGTTTGCTTTCCAGTTGCATGGAATTATTTTATTTATTTTTATCATGGATTGCTAGGTTGTCTCTCCTTAATTTTCTCACCTTTGTTTATTATATATTTGTTAAAGACTGACGGGTAATTGTGCTTGCGTTCACGTTTTGGAGTTCGTTAGCGTTACCTACATGCATATTAGAGAGAGAGAGATTACCATGCATATTTTAGAGAGAGAAAGATTACCTACATGCATATTTTAAAGAGAGAGATATTACCTACATGTATATTTTAGAGAGAGAAATTACCTACATGCATATTTTAAAGAGAGAAACAGATTACCTACATGCATATTTTAGAGAGAGAGAGATTGGTGGCATCCAATGTCCATCTTGGGCTTATTTTATGTCTTAAACAAACTTATTCTGATACAGTTCATGGCTAAAGTTCTGGAACATTCATCTTCTGCAAATAAGAAATGAATATCAATATAGATAATCAAAAGAAGACAGTGCTCAAAAGTTGACGAAAAGAAGTGGCCCGAGGATGAGACCTTAAATTGAATAGAAATATGATAAATTGAAATGGTGGAGCTTGGGTTTGATTGGTTAAGGTACTGATGATTGCACCCAACTTCGAATTCTAAAATGAATAAATTTACATAGAAAACTAAATTGAGTTTTGGTATTAAAGAAGGGTGTGGTTTGAATAAAAGTAAGGTGCACCTTCAAATAATGCCAGTAAATGTTTCGGTATCATAAATATTTATGAAAATAGTGTAGGTTGAATCGATCTACGAATATTTGGAAATCTCTAAAATTGATGGTCTAAATAATACAGTATAAGATGCATAATTTCAAAAACTTGAAATTTATTTTTCTCATATCCATACATCGAGAAGTTGAGATGATCGAATTTAGAGTTTTTCAACATCGAAATAACCTCCTCTTGTGAATTCTTGAAGTGTGCCTTAATTGGATTAGGGCCTCATCCTTATATAAATTTTAAATGATTCAGATTTATGACATTTTATGGGAGATTCAAACTGTATAAGTTATTTCTATTCTCATTTACTCATGGTTCGAATGTCGAATTTTCAAACTGCCCAATACACGAAAAAAAAACTCGAGTTTGAAGGTGCAACTTTGAACGACCCATATGCAAAAAGAATTAAGTGCTTGTGTAAAGTAGGACTTTCGAATGCTTAGACATTTCAAAAGTTGAACTCTTGAACAACTCAAAAATTAAATTTTTTTTTTTTGGGATTGTATACAATAAGACAATTTATCTTTAATACAAATATATCACAATTACTTACAACTATTTGATGTGAAATCTAATAGCTTGGATGTGCATAAAGTTCGAGAAAATTCCTTTTAAAGTTTGAGTTAGGTCAACAAAATAAATGTGGCCATCTAATTTCACATTCAATGGTCAAGATTAATTATAACCACCATGTACTAAAGATAAATGGTCTCATTGTATACTTTTCCTTCTTTTCTTTTTTTGTATTTAGATTGGTTTAAAGTTAGATTTTCTAATAGTCCGACCAAAGCACAGACAAAAAGTCGGTGTTTAGGCAGTTTGAAAGTTGGACCCTTAAACCATCCAAAAATTAATCTTTTTTTTTTTTGTATTAAGAGTGGTTAAAAAGTTAGATTTGTCAATAGCCCAAAAATCTCAGTTTTTTTGTTTTGGGCGATTTGAATGTTCTACTTTGAGCCACCCAAACATCCGATTTTTATGTGTTCGGGCAATACACACTTTCAAACTGCTTGAACACTTAGTTTTTTTGTGTCTTGGAGTAAAATGTAACTATATATTAACACAAAAATTGTGAACCTCGTCATAAAATATCGAAAAAATATGAACCATTCTTCAATACGACAATTCTTTTAAGTTTGTAAATAAGATTTCTCTAAATAAACAACATTGCCATAAATCATGGTTAGCTCAATGAATTTTCCTTAAGAAAATTTATCTTTTCAAAAGGGAAATTTAAGCTTTCCCCGAGGAGCCAGGTAAAGAAGACTATGAAACCTTCCCCCAATAACTTGAAGTTATAGGTCTACCGCACCTTCAGTGCACTTATATTATCTCAAAATTTGAAGATAATGTAATTTAAATCCCTAAGATCGAAATCAAGTGTGCTTGTAATTCTATTGTAGTGATCATGGTTCCCTTAAACATTTCTGATTGTTTTTATTCTTTAGTGCAAATACTTTTTTATAATTCATACTTTATGTTAGTGGAAAGTACTGAATGACATTGTCTTTTTTTTCTTTTTTTTTTTACTATTCAATAATTTACGAGGAATATCAAACCTCCATTGCCAACAAAACACTGATGTCACTCATTGTACACTGTATTGTGGGATTGTTTACAAATAGACCATTTATCTTTTATACATGGATGTCACAATCATTCCCACTCATTAGATGTCTCATTGGATAGCTTGGGGTTAATCACCAAGTCGGAGAATTTATTTTTTAAAAAACTTTATATCTATTCAATAACACTCTTAAAGAATCTCTTTGCAGACAATCCCCTGTTATCTTTACTTGTATTAAGATATGCAAAACCTTAATTTTATTTTGCCAAGAGTCCCAAGGCATTAATGTGCCTTGATATTGATGGCATTCCCATATGGGTGACCTCACAGCCACCCCCAAATAATAAATGAAACCCCTTTTATAATAATAATGTAAGTATTACGGCAAGTAAACCATATAAAATAGGTTTTAATGAAATGGTTTTGTACCTAAGAATAAGTTTCAAATACTTCAACCAAAAGAAAGGGTAGATATAGGTTGACGGGACAAAGCTCTTGCCAAATCATTAATAAGGGGTCAATAGATCCCAATTCATGTTAGATAGTTAATTTTTTAATTTTTATTAAATTTAGGCTATCATCTTTTCTCAACTAATTGAGGTCAGCTAAACTACACTTGAGCGTTATTTAACGCAATGCTATTTCAAAAACTATATGCAATGTGGCCAAACAGCACTTGTTTGGGTTTGAAATCCTAAACAAGCAAGGTCACTTAAGTAATTTTATAGATCCCAAACAAACAAGGATACTCCTATCATTTGTTTGGGGACTTTTAGGAGGATAGAATTACTCAATGGCCCTACATATTTAGGGTTTTCAATCCTGAACAAAAGCAGTTTGGAAAATACTTCTTAAGGAGGTGCTTGCATGAAATGAAATGAAATTAAAATGCAAAACCTCTAATTTTAAATGGGCCATTTTGACCCTTTAATAATTTTATAAGGGCTTACCACCCCTTAAATTATATTATTCCCTAAGAGAAATAACTTTACTACATAATAGAGTGGTTTGTTTTAAGGAGTGTTCTAAAAATGGGGAGTCGCCTTGGAATCGATAGTGCTCAATCCAAGTCTAAAGACCCCTGGACTAGCTAGGTTCGTATGGGTTCTCATTGACTTTTACAAATTTTAATTAAAAAAAAAAACCATAGAACCGGAAAGCCAGATCTGAATCAGTCAAACTGGCTGAAACAAGCCAGCGATTGATTTGGCCAACCAGTTTGGTTTTTATAACATTGATTCTAAGTTTATATAGATGGGTCTGATTTGTATAAGAATTTTATTTCATTTGTAGGAGTAAGGTTATGGTATTCTACACCGTTTATTTTAATTGGACATTGAAAACTTGACAAGACGTTTAAGACAATGTAAAAAAAGTGCTATAGCTTTTGAGACAGTATCAAATCTACAATGTTTAAATAAGGAAAAAGTTTATATAAGGTTGCAACATTAAAACGTAGAATTACAAATGCACCTTAAAAATCCATCGAAAAAAGTTGTTTTAATGTTGAAAAACCTTCTAATTAATCATCTCAACATCGAGATGTATGAATATGAAAAAGAAAAATATTGTAAGTCTTAGAAGTACTGCATCTTGTAACACATTATCTAGACCGTCCATTTTCAAGATTTTCATACGTTTATAGCTCTACTTAATTTTAACCATTTTAGGAGTTTATAATTTTATAATTAGATATACAAATATATTTTCAGATAATCCTAAGAATTTTTTGTGCCAATAATAACTTTTGGATGTGCGCCTTAATTGGATTGTTTAAGGTTGCAACCTTATAGAACCCACACCCTTTAAATAAAAGAAAAAGTTAATGTAAGGTCTCTAGCTTAAAATGTAGAATTAAGGTGCACCGCAAAAGTCGGAAAAGGTTGTTTTGATATTGGAAAAGCATCTAATTGATAGATATATGAATATGTGAAAAAATAAAGATTTCGAGTCCTAAATTTAGTGCATCGTACAACACATTAATTAGGCCGTCTATTTTTAAGATTTTCCATGTTTTTATAGATTTACTTGGTTTGAACTCTTTTTGAAATTTTAAAA